TGTGCCTTCGCCTTTTTAACGATGTTCCCATCAGGGTCCCGTATCCCGTCACGTGCGAAAGGGGGTATTTTTGGGGGGGGGGGGGTAAGGTTTTCAAATCAAGATCGGTTTCCGACGCTGGCGGAATATGGAAAAGAACATTATCTGCGTGATTTATCGCATTTCCTATTCGCGAATAAATCCAGCGTCGTTATTGAATTCCCAAATCTGCAAATTCAGCGAAATTATTATAGCTGATTTCTATCTCTCCGACTTCTATCTCGTGCCTTTGAATAAAAATCTGCAATTTTTCTGAAATCGTGTATCCGTTAATCGAAACATCTATATTCCTCCCTTCGAAGGTCCGTCGGGAAGAAAGGAAAGCTCGTTTCTTCACACATGCATAATTTACACGGGAAACCACTTCGCGCCCGTAACTATCCATCTTTCGCGCTGATTTTGCACACGTGTGACGTTATCATGCGGAGAAACAGAAAGCAAACGCGTATCAAACAAGCCTGTTAGGGAATTAGAGACATAAATCGCCGCGGAGATTATAAGGAGACGTGTTTCGCGAACATAACGCGTGGAACGGCTTGCAAATGTGCGAAACGTGTGACGTGACGGGAATAAGTAATCGTCTTACTTATGCAGCATGGGAGATTAGTAGTTGCCCGAAGTCACGAGTAATTTATATCGATCGTTAGCTTAGTTTCGAGGTGAGAAAGGCGAGGAAAAGTCGGCGTTTAACAACACCGCGCTAGATTCCCGTAATCGCTGGATTCATCGCAAATCCGCCACGATTTCGCGATAACGATCTTGAGGGGGAGAAAATCGTCGGCTTGCCATTCACGTTGCGAAATTCGTACGTTCCCCTTCGTTTCCTTCACGCGCGTGTTTCCTTAAGTCGCGAGGGGAAAAATTGAACGGAGAACCACTCTTACGATAACTCGCGACGATTACTCGCACGTTCGCCAGTACACGAAGCCGTACTAGTAAGTAAGGTTTCGAGGCGAACAGAAGGCTCATCCTCGACTGAGGTCAGGGCTTTACTCCTTATTCTGACCTTTATACTTTTAGATCATGTTTGAACGCAATTACGGATTTTACATACAGCAAATGAAGTAGATGAATGTTACAGAATAATAAATATTAAAGATATTAACTCTGCTTGTATATAATAAAACTCTAAAGCCATTCACGACAAGGTCATCTCGAAAAAGATCTTGAAAAAGATCACGATTTTTTTAAAGTCGAATTCACGTATTATTATTATTATCATTATTCGGTATATTGAATAATTAAAATTGACATTGTACGTTCTGCCATAAAGAATTGAAGAAATTTGTTACTTAAGAAAATACAGATAGTAAACAAAATGAAGGAAGATGTCTTACTTTTTCTTGAATAATAAATTAAAATTTAGGTTTTTCAGAACAACAAAAATTGACATTTTACTTTATAGAAGAAAAATTGAAGGATAATAATCGCGTTTTTTCAGGATGAAGCTTGCATCAGAGAGCGAGATGGGGCCGAGGGTGTTTGCGACACGGACGTTTGCGTGGAGGCCTCGAAGAGGATTCTGGCGTCCATGAAACGGGGCGTCGATCCTTGTAAGGATTTTTACAAGTTCGCCTGCGGTGGTTTCCGCGATCGGCAACCCTATCAACCGAGCGCGAGCTTCAATCTACTCCAAGCGCAAATCGACGAGCATATACACAGTGAGCATTTTGCAAAGTTTTCGACAATTTTCTTTTTTTTTTGCAACTTTCCTTCTTTTCCTAACAATTTCAAAAATTTTCGTATTTATTCAGAAAATGTTAATCGCTTCATTGAAGCAGAAGTGAACGACGTGGTAAAAGTGCCTTCCACTCATTTTGCCACATTATATTTCAATTTCTTCCAGCCTAGTAAATATGGTTTCATTAGAACGGAATGCTATTTGTCCACGATTATCCAATTTTCAAGTGAGTTCAATGCTAATAATAATGTCCTTTAATTAAATAAATAATGACAAAACCGACAGTTAAAAAGATTAACATATTAAACAAAATTTATTTTACGCGTTAGAAGAGCGTCTTTGCGTCAAGGAGAAAAATCGAATTTAAATTAATAACTTTATCGCTATTTTATGCGAATGAAATTAAAATAAATCTAACATCGCCGCCATTTTGTAGAAACTTTTCTACATTCGACTAAAAATTCTAAAGAGTATATTGAATATTGAAGCATTGTGTGACGATAACGACAGTGTCTTGGCAATCGATTTTCTTTGTCCTCTTTTCGCCGCGATTATTGCGATCCTCATGCCAACGGGGAGGAGAGGAAAAAAAAGAAAGAAAGGAACCGGATTTGCGGGTAAAAAATGGGCGTAATAGCGACGTATTAATCTTCGAGAAGGCGCGGAGATTCAAAGAGCACAGTAAGCTCGGACAGGGAAACACGACCTCAATTTGGTAAGAATCTATCTATGGTAGCGCGATAGTGGTGGTGGTGTCGCCGGCGCGACTGGCGCCGAGCGACTGGCACCAACTGTGCTCGCGTATAGATCGCCCCGGGACGGGATGGTATAACTCCCCAGTTTGGGGATCGAAACTTAAAGGGGAGCTGGATAAACATCGGACGTCGGAGTCCGGACGATGGATCGAAAAGCTCTATCTCGTTAACGAGGCACGAGGCGCGTAAGCCGCGTGACGTCGTCAACGTTCGCCAACTTGGGTCAACCTCCCGCCCTCTCCCCCCCCCCCGATCTCTCCGACGTTCCCACGCGCTCGCCGTGCCCTGCGAGGGCGAAAGGGAGGCACGGCGTCACGGTACGTCACCCTTCCCTCCCCCGTGAAGAAAGGGACAGAGAAATTATCTGAACTCTGATGCGAGGCGAAATCGAAACGGCCGACTTGCCGTACTATAAATAATGCACCTTGATCGATATACGTACGTGTGTTACGCCGGTTGCTTATCCGTTCGGCGGAAAACCGCCTCTCTAAAACCCGTTACTTTTACGCAACCTTCGAAACGCTATTCGCGTGATTCAAGGTCGGCGAATTAGCTTACCCGCCGCTAATCAGATCATCTGAGAGATCTTTAGCCGCCGTGCCTTCCTCTCCCCCCACCCCCTCCCCCTCCCCTCCTTCTCCGCCTTCCCAGTTTAGCCTTCGTCATGAACAATAATGACTCCTCCTTCCAGGAAATCGTTCTA